TGGTCGGTCAGTCAGGGTGTATGCAGGGGGCCCTCTCTCACCGCGTCTGGTGGGTGGTGAGGAAGCAAAGCTTCTCTCTCTCGGCAAACGCCATGCAGATAACGGCGTGAACTGTCCTCCCTGAGGGGGGCATCGGATCCCCCAAGAACTGATCCATCTCACACCTGCAAGGTTGTGCCCTTTGACCATCATCTCCCCCCCACCCCCATTCCCGGTAACCACCCTTCTGGTCTCCGGTCTGACGTTTCCTGCAGCTGGAAAAGGACAATGAGGTGGTAATACCCTAGGCCAGTGGTCGGCAAACTCATGAGTGCATAGAGCCAAATGTCAACAGGACAACGATGGACATTTCTTTCTTTAAAAAAAAAATAATAATTTTTTTTTTTTAGTGATTTTTTTACAAAGAGGAAGGGAGAGGGGTAGAGAGATAGAAGCCTTGATGAGAGAGAAACATCGATCAGCTGCCTCCTGCACACCCCCTACTGGGGATGTGCCTGCAACCAAGGTACATGCCCTTGACCAGAATCGAATCCAGGACCCCTCAGTCCGCAGGCCGAAGCTCTATCCACTGAGCCACACCGGTTTCGGCTCAGACTCTATCTTTAGAGCCAATGGTTGGAGAGCCGGTGTTGGCCCCAAGGGTGCATCCCCCCGTTTCCGCTGATAACTCATCGCCAGGGTCCGGGGCGGGGGAAGGTGCAGGCGACCCGGAGCCGCCCTGCGGGGGGAGGTGGAGGGGGTCTGTGGGCGCCGGCTCCCCGGGGATCTGAGTCCCGACGTCCATGTGGCCCCCAGGTTGGAAGGCTGCTGGTTCGCCCCGGGAGGTTTGCTGGAGTTAGCCAGGGACCTCTCACGGAACCTGAGGCTGAAGACGCTGTTGGTACGGAGGGTGCGCCTGGAGGACGCCGAGGCCTCTTTCCTGGCCGAGGCCCAGTGGGAGAGGCTGGCGTGAGTGCTGTTCTTTTTTTTTTTTAACTATATTTTAGCCGAAACTGGTTTGGCTCAGTGGTAGAGCTTCGGTCTGTGGACTGAAGGGTTCCAGGTTCAATTCCAGTCAGGGGCATGTACGTTGGTTGCGGGCACATCCCCAGTAGGGGGTGTGCAAGAGGCTGATTTGCATACTCACTCCTGATTGGCTGGTGGGCATTGCTAAGGTGCGGTTAATTTGCATCTTACTCTTTCATTAGTGTAGATATTAGATATTATTATATATATTATTATATATATTATTATATACATTAGATTTTATATATATATATATATATATATATATATATATATATATATTAGCCTATATAATGAAAGCCTAATGTGCTAAGTGTCTGGTTGACCAGTCGGCCGTTCAGCCAACCAAAGCGCGTCATGTGCTGATGACATGCTAAGGCTGCTCAACTGCTCGCTATGATGTGCACTCACCACCAGGGGGCAGATGCTCCAACCAGTAGGTTAGCTTGGTGCTGGAATCAGGCCAATCAGGACGGAGTGAGATGAGCTGGACACACCCTGGAGCCCTCCCGTGGTCTCTCCCTGCTGGCCAACCTCCCACATCGCTCCCCATCCCGATTGTGCACCCATGGGGTCCCTCGGCCTGGCCTGCACCCTCTCGCAATCTGGGACCCCTCATGGGGTGTCAGAGAGCCGGGTTCAGCCCGATCCCACAGGCCAGGCCGAGGGACCCCACTGGTGCACAAATTCATGCACTGGGCCTCTAGTATGTATTATGTATATATTATATATTATATCACATATAATGTAGTATATAGTATTATATATATAACGAATTACATATAATATATCCTATATCATAGTGCTATGTATAACCTATAGTTATATATTATTTATAATTATGTATTGTTTATTTTATATCTTTAATGTAAATGTCATATAGATAGATGATAGATAGATATAATGCAGTTATGCCTACTAGTGTGGCTTAGTGTTTGAGTTTTGACCCCTGAACCGAGAGGTCCCTGGTTCGATTCCTGGACAAGACACATGCCTGACTTTCAGGCTCGATCCCTGATGGGGGGCATGCAGGAGGCAGCTGGCTGATGATTCGCTCTCATCGACGTCACTCTCTCTCTCTCTCTCCCTCTCCCTTCCTCCCTCTCTGAAATCAGTAAAAGTGTATTTCTGAGAAGCCCACCCGGCGGTGGGCAAGCAGTGAGCGGCCTCCCTCTGTGTCCGCCCCAGGCTGGAGTGCTGTGACCACAAGCTGCTCTCCCACCAGAGCCTCATCCTCCCTCTCCGCAGCAACCACAGGCTGACCCACCTGAGCCTGGCCGAGAACGCCCTGAGCTACCACGGCGCCCGGGACCTGTGGTGCGCCCTGCAGAAAGCCCGGTGCCCGCTGCAGAGGCTCGTGTGAGTCCAGGGGCTCTGCCCCGATAGGATAATGCATATCATAATAACGTATATAATAGCATATATAATAACGTATATAATAATGTATACAGGGCGTACAGCACAGCGCGGGGAACAGAGGCACAACCCCTCTCTCTCTCTCTCTCTCTCTCTCTCTCTCTCTCTCTCTCTCCATATATAGATAGATAGATAGATAGATAGATAAAAGCCTAATGTGCTAACTGCCCCTCCCACTGTTCGATGGCTTGAGCAGTCGCTATGATGCACACTGACCACCAGGGGGCAGACACCTGATTGATAAGTTAGCTTGCTGCTGGGTCTGGCTGGTTGGGACTGGGTGAGATGGGGCCGGACATGCCCTGGAGCCCTTCCCTAGCCAGGGTGGAGTCCCAGATTGCCAGAGGGCACAGACAGGCCAAGGGACCCCACCGGTACACAAATTCGTCCCCTGAGCCTCTAGTATTATAGTAACGAGGGATGGGACCAGGTGGGGACTAGACTTATTAGGGGGTCCCCTTGCTAAGTTACATACATGTCTAATCATTATGTGATACCCCTGAAACGGATATAATATGGAATGTCAACTGTCATTGAAAAATAAGTCTTTTTAAAAAATGTATTTTATTGATTTTTTACAGAGAGAAAGAGAGAGGTATAGAGAGTTAGAAACATCGATGAGAGATACATCGATCAGCTGCCTCTTGCACACCCCCTACCGGGGATGTGCCTACAACCAAGGTACATGCCCTTGACCGGAATCAGTCCGCAGACCGACGCTCTATCCACTGAGTCAAACCGGTTTCAGCAGTCTTTTCTTTTTTTTTCTTTTTTTAAGTTGGCTGGCCCTGCCAGTATGGGTCAGTGGTTAGAGTGTTGACCCAAACACCAAAGGGTCACAGGTTTGATTCCTGCTCCAGGACATGTATCTAGGTTGCAGGTTTGATCCCTGGCCTGGCCTGGGTGCATGTGGGAGGCAACCAATTGATGTGTCTCTCTCACATCAATGTTTTTCTCTCTCTCTTCCTCTACTCTCTAACAACAACAACAACAACAAAAATCAATGGAAAAACATCCTGGGGTGAGGATTAGCTACAATGACAAAAAGCACCTCAAACCTACGGACACTTTTTAGTATCCCCAAAGAAGCAGGAAATGGGGCCACTGCTTTGGGACAATCGTCTCACGGCTCCTAAAAGGGCAAAACGTACAACGTACGAGTCAGCAGCTCCACCCCTAGGTACTCACGCCGGAGAAATGGAAACCTGAGTCTGTACCAGGATGTGCACACAGCTGGTCACAGCTGCATCGGTCATGGCCGCCCACACGTGCAAGCAAGCCAAGGGCCCCTTGGCTGGTGGACGGGCAAACAAAGTGGAATAGTATTGGGTCGTGAAAAAGAACCAAGAGCCGAGAAGTGCCACGGTGTGCGTGAATCTTAGAAATAGTATGATCTGTGAGGGAAGCCAGGCCACACAGACCACAGGGTCCATGACCCCATGCACACTGAGTGGCCAGATTATGATGATCTCTGAACGCATAATTTGGCCATTCAATGTGTGTGTGTATGTGTGTGTGTGTGTGTGTGTGTGTGTGTGTGTATACATGAATCCGTGCATGGGTGGGGTCCGGCCAGCCTGGCCAGGGACAAGAAACATGGGCAGTTGGCCAGCCTGCCTGCTGATAGAACTCCTGGTCAAGGGGACAATTTGCACATTAGCCTTTTATTCTACAGGATATACACTGAGTGACCAGATTATTAGGCGTTCAGAGGTCATCATCATCTGGCCACTCAGTGTATATATCACGCGTCCAGAGCTAGCAAATCTGTCACTCGTCAGTGAACATGGGGGGCGTAGACATTCTTTCTGACTGATGTTTCGGGATTGCTAGGATATGTTTCCAGAAGTGGGATCAAACGGCAGTTCCATTTTTTTAAAATTTTTTATTTGAGGGTTAGTTCCATTTTTGAGGAAACTCCATAGTGTGTTCGGCAGTGTCTGCAGTAGTCTGCATTCCCACCAGCAGTGCACGATAGTGGAAGGGTGTGTGGGATGGCTCTTCCCTCCTTTGTTCCCTCCGCAGGCTGAGGAGCTGCAGCCTGACCGCCAGCTGCTGCTGGGAGGCGGCCCGCACGCTGGTCCGGATCGCCACCCTGCGGAGCCTGGACCTCAGCTTCAACCGGCTGATGGACGAGGGGCTGGCCCTGTTCTGCGAGGCCCTGCAGGACTGGGACTCCGGGCTCCAGGTGCTCGAGTGAGTGGTTCCCCCACCCCCACCTTCACCCCCCCCATCCCCATCCCTGCTGTGAGACCAGAGCATCCCGACATCCCCCCCCTGAAAGGTCCCAGATTGTGAGAGGGCACAGGCCAGGCTGAGGGACCCCCATAGTGCAGATGGGGGCTGGGGAGGGACTGCGTGAGGGCTCCAGGGCGTATCCAGCCTGTCTTGCTCAGTCCCAATCCACCAGACCCCAGCAGCAAGCTAACCTACCGGTTGGAGTGTCTGCCCCCCTGGTGGTCAGGGCACATCATAGCAGTCAAATAGCCTTAGCATATTATAAGTTTATTATGCTTTGATTGGTTGAACAGCCAACTGGTCAACCAGACACTTAACATATTAGGCTTTTATTATATAGGATATATCTTTATTGATTTCAGAGAGGAAGGAAGAGGGAGGGAGGGAGGGAGAGAGAGAGAGAGAGAGAGAGAAACATCAACGATGAGAGAGAATTATGGATTGGCTGTCTCCTGCATGCCCCCCTACTGGGGATCAATCCTGCAAATCGGGCATGTGTCCTGACTGGGAATGGAACTGTGACCTCCTGGCTCATAGGTAGACGCTCCACCACTGAGCCACACCGTTGCTTCTTGTGTATTCCCTGAGGATCAAACCTGCAACCTAGGATGACACTCTAAGCAACTAAGCTCCCCACCAGGGCAGCATTCAATTTTTGAAGGATAGACACGGAGTGGCCAGACGATGATGATGATCTCTGAACACATAATAACCTGGCCACTCAGTGTAAATCCTGTAGAATAAAAGGCTAATATGCAAACTGTCCCCTTGACCAGGAGTTTGACCAGCAGGCAAGCCAGCCAATCACCCATGTCCCCTCCCCCTGGCCAGGCTGGCTGGACCCCACCCATGCACGGATTCATGCTCCGAGCCTCCTATATAATAATCTGAGATCATAATCATCTGGCCACTCAGTGTAGATGGCTCATACCATCGTGGAGTTAGGGATGGCATAGCCCACTCTGAATAACACACAAAGCAACGGACCCAACACCTCAGCATACATTTTGGGGGAGGGGCCCACCCGGAGTGAGCTTTCCGGGCAGGACCATTGTCCGGCTGAGGCCTCAGGCGTGGGCATGGGGACGCTCCAGCCGCCTGTGTCCGCCCGCAGGCTGGAGCGATGCTCCCTCACCACCTACTGCGACCAGGCCCTGGCCCACCTGCTCTGCACCCTCCAGGGCCTGAGGCACCTGGACCTGAGCAGGAACCAGCTGGGGCTCCGGACCATCCAGCGCCTGCATGAGACCTTCCACTGGCGGGCGCGGGCCACGAGAGTCGTCCTGTGAGTGTCCGGGGGACCTCCGCCCCTTCCTCCTCCTCTTCCTCCTTTCCCTCCCCCTCCCCCTTTTCCTCCTCCCCCTTCTCCCCTTCCTCCTCCTCTTCCTCCTTTCCCTCCCCCTCCCCCTTTTCCTCCTCCCCCTTCTCCCCTTCCTCCTCCTCTTCCTCCCTCTCCTCCCCTTCCTCCCCTCCCTCCCCCTCCTCCTCCCCCTCCCCCTTTTCCTCCTCCTCCTCCTCCCCCTTTTCCTCCTCCTCCTCCCCCTTTTCCTCCTCCTCCTCCTCCCCCTTTTCCTCCTCCTCCTCCCCTGTTTCCTCCTCCTTCCCCTTTTCCTCCTCCTCCTCCTCCTCCTCCCCCCCTTTTTCCTCCTCCTCCTTCTCCTCTTTCTCCTCCTCCTCCTCCTCCTGCTCCTCCTCCTCCTCCTGCTCCTCTTCCTCCCCTCTGCAGGGACAGACCGGGGTCGCCCTGGGCCCCTTCTGCAGGGACAGACGCGGGATCTCCCTGAGCGCCCCCCCCCCCCTGCAGGGACAGACCCGGGGTCTCCCTGGGCCCCTCTGCAGGGACAGACCCAGGGTCTCCCTGGGCCCCTCTGCAGGGTCTCTCTCTCCCCCAGAGGCGGGCCTGCCCTCTGTCCCCTCCGGGCGGACCCAGAGCCCTGTCTTCCCGCAGGGAGCGGAAGCCTCCGCGCAGGGTGCACTTGGCGCTGCGGCTGGAGGGGCCGCCGGTGGACGGCGCGGTGCTGAGGATCCTGCAGGACCTGGAGGAGGGCTCCTTCCCGGGGCCGCACGCGGGGGCGGGCCCCCCGACGCCCTGAGGGACCCGGGGCGGCTCCCCGTGGGAGATGGGGTTCGGGGTGCGGATTCGGTTCTGATGGAGGGCAACCCTGCAGGAGGCAACCGACCTGTGGGTCTCTCTCTCTCTTCTCCTCTCGCCCTCCCCCCGCCATTTGTGTCTGCGGGCCCTTCTGTGTCTGGAATCGCACAGTTGGGTGTGGGGCAGGCGTGACCCCCACAGGCGCCCGGGAGGGACTGAGGTGGCTGGTGGGGTCCCAGCCCCCAGCCTCGGCTGTGCCTGTGCCTTTGGACACGTCCCGGCCCGTTAGCTGGGCTGTGGGGAACGCAGGTTCGCTTTTTAGGTTATTTAATTAAGCTTGTACACGAGTGTTTACATTTGTACCTGAGTGTTGAATTAAACTTGTACACGGATGTCATTTGCAAACTTGCCGGGTGTCCTTTATCCATCCGCTGTTCGAAGGATATTTCCCAGGGGGACAGAGCGGGGGGGGGGGGGCTCTCCCCACTGCCCTTGTCTGGTTCTTTTCTATTTTATTTTTTCATAAACTTATTTATTTCATTCGTTCATCTCTTTGTTGTTAATCCTCCCTCGAAGATATTTTTTCCATTGATTTTTTATACACTTATTTTATTGATTTTTTACAGAGAGGGAGAGAGAGTCATAAACATCAATGAGAGAGAATCATCAATCAGCTGCCTCCTGCACACCCTCCTCTGGGGATGTGCCCACAACCAAGGTACATGCCCTTGACCGGGATCGAACCTGGGACCCTTGAGTACAAAGGCCAACTCTCTATCCACTGAGCCAAACTAGTTAGGGCTTTATTGATTTTTAAAGAGAGTGGAAGGAGGAAAGACAGGGGGAGAGAGAGAGAGAGAGAGAGAAGGTAAACATCCATGTGAGAGAGACCCATTGGTTGGCTGCCTCCTGTAGGCGTGCCCTTGACCAGAACCAAACCCAATGCCCTTTGGTCCTTGAGTGGATGCTCTGACCAGAGAAAAACTGGCCCGGCCTCTTCTGTGAATATATATATTTACTTATTTTAAACATTGGAGAGAGGAAGGGAGAGGGACAGAGAGCAAGCAACACCAATGGCTGCCTCCTGCAGGCCCCCTAATGGAGAATCGAGCCCACAGCCCTGGGCATGTGCCCAACCAGGCGATAGAACCTGGAACCCAGGTTTGTGCCGACGGGGGATCAAACCTGCAACCCTTTGGTGTACGGGGTGACACTCCAACCAACTGAGCCACACCGGCCAGGGCAATAGTCGTGTGTGTGTATGTGTGTATGTGTGTGTGTGTGTTTTACTTTTCAATCACAGTGAACATTCAACACTATGTTCTATGAGTTTCAGGTGACCCCCACCCCATTCCGAAGAGTAGGCAAAAAGAAAGCCCTAGCTGGTGTGGCTCAGTGGATAGAACGTCGGCCTACAGACTGAAGGGTCCCAGGTTCGATTCCCATCAAGGGCACAGGCCCGGGTTTTGGGCTCCATCCCCAGTAGGGGGTGTGCAGGAGGCATGCAATCCATGATTCTCTCGCTTCACTGATATTTCTCTCTCCCTCTCCCTTCGTCTCTGAAATCAAATATATATATATATATATATATATATATATATATATATATATATATATATATATATATATATATTGGAAAGGCCCACCCAAAGCCAAGCTCTGATGTGAACATGCTTTAGTCTGTTCTCCAGAGCCCAGAATTTCACAGCTGGAGCTGATCCCGATGCCTCACTAAGAGCCCCAACCCCCGCCCCCCCAATAAGTGAAGGTCTAGCTGAGGTCATTGGGAAGCCAGAGACCCCACCCGCTGAGGTGCTCCCCAAAATGGCCTAGGAGACATCTCTTTCCTGAAGCAATGAGGACACATTCCTGGGGAAGACCAGGGCTGGATGGGAGTAGGACAGAGCTCCCCGGTCTTGGTGGCACGTTAATTGACACGGGGACCTTTAAACATGCATGGGGGTGGGGGGCAATAGGGGGTAAGGACACATATGTAATGCCTTCATCAATAAAGGAAATTGTGCCATGCCAGCCCAGCCAAGTGTGAGCCTGAGAGGAGGCGGTGAAGGACGGAGAAGAGACAGACAAGAGAATGAAAGCTGGGTCCCAGTGGGACCCTGTTCTCTCTGAAGGAGAGCAAGCGACAGCATCACGGATGGACAACAAGTCGAGTCTTTATTTTACAGCCGATGCCCCCGGCAAAGGAAGGGCGTGGTCAGGATGTTTACAGCGTTCCCGTGGGTTTCCATCCTCCTCAGTTACATGCACCTGGTCCAGAGTTGTTCACTTGCAGCCGACATCACTCAGCACTAGGGGCCATGTGTTCGGGCCACAGGTTCAAGCTCACAACCGCAGCTGCTGGCTATCTTGGTGCTGGTTGGCTCTGCCCTTCACGCTGGGACGTGCACATCTCATTTTTTTAAAATTATATTTTATTGATTTCTTACAGAGAGAAAGGGAGAGTTAGAAACATCGATGAAAGGAACATTGGATCAGCTGCCTCCCGCACACCCCTCCCTGGGGATGTGCCCACAACCAAGGTATATGCCCTTGATCGGAATTGAACCTGGCACTCTTCAGTCCGCAGGCCGACGCTCTGTCCACTGAGCCACACCGGTTTCAGCCCCATTGAATTTTCAATAGGGTGGAAGGGAGGGGGAGAAACAGAAATGTTGGTATGAGAGAGACACATGGATTGGTTGCCTCCCGCAGGAGGGGGATGGAACCTGTAACCAAAATACGTAACCTTGACCAGAATTGAACCCAGGCCCTGCAGTCCGAGGGCTGGTGCTCTATCCACTGCACCAAACTAGGGCTCATTGAAGTTTCTATCTCTCTATCCCTCTCCCTTCCTCTTTCTAACATCAATACAAATATTATAGCCGAAACCGGTTTGGCTCAGTGGATAGAGCGTCGGCCTGTGGACTGAAGGGTCCCAGGTTCGATTCCAGTCAAGGGAATGCATCTTGGTTGCGGGCACATCCCCAATGGGGGGCGTGCAGAAGCAGCTGGTCGATGTTTCTCTCTCATAGATGTTTCTAACTCTCCCTCTCCCTTCCCCTCTATAAAAAAAATCAATAAAAATATATTTAAAAAAAAAACACACGTGCACACACACACACAGTTACGGCTGCAGGATGCACAGGTGAAGGCCATGGTCGCCTGGAGGCCCTGGCACAGCTGCCCCTCATTGACCGGGCCTCGCCCTCCCCTGCCCCAGGCGGCCAATGGCTGGAGGCAGCCAGGGGCCCGTGGCCACGTGACCACCCAGGACTCCCCAAAGGCCCTCTGCAGGTGGGCTGGCTTGGCGCTGACCTTGGCCGTGAGGACGGGAGGGTATCGGTGAGTGTGAGCCCCCTCAGGTCTGGTCTCAGCGCCTTTCCTTCTCTCTCAAACACTCAGACCTGCTTGTGGGGTCCTGGCCTGGGTCCCAACCCTCCCCTGGGTCTCCCCCTCCCCTGGGCCCCCACCATCCCCACGGAGGCCCTCAGAGCCCAGAGCCACCTGGAGAAAGAACAGCGGTCCCGTCTCCCAAGCAGAACGCTCCCATGTGGGGCTCTTAGGGGCCTGCCTCGCCCTTCCAGTCTCTGCGTCTAACCCTGAGGAAGGAGCCTGGGTGCTGGGGCTCAAGGTCAAAGTCAGGGTCACAGAGGTGGTGGGAGGCGGGGGGTGGCTGTGTCCGCGGTGCTCACGTGAACTGTGGCTCAGCCACGCGCCCTGAAGGGGCTCTCTGTCCTGGGAGGAAGCGGTGGCCGGTGAGGGGACCCGCTGGGGAGGCTGGGACCCCCTCTGAAACCTCACAGTAATGGGAACAGGCTATGTGGGGTCCCTGGAGACCCTGTGATGTCCTCAGGAGGGAAAGGGTGGGGGGCAGGGGAGAGAAACATGGCTCCCCATTGTGTTTGCTTTCTCTAAAATACAGACGGTATCTCCCGTGAAAGCATCTTTTAGGGGAAGCTGGTGGATATAAATGGGTTTTACTAACATGATTGAGCTGCTACCTTTACCACCATCTATTAATGACAGACAGATGGGGGCGGGGGAGAGAGAGAGAGGAGGAGGGAGGAGAGAGGAGAGAGAAATGGGGAGAGACAGAGATAGGGATAGAGCCATGTTCGGCAAACCATGGCTTGAGAGCCACCTGCGGCTCTTTGGCCCCTTGGGTGCGGCTCTTCCACAAAACACCACGGCCTGGGTGAGTCTGTGTTGAAGAAGTGGCGTTAGAAGAAGGTTAAGTTTAAAAAATGTTGGCTTTCCAAAGAAATGTCAATCGTACTGTTGATACGTGGCTCTGTGGACTCATGAGTTTGCCGACCACTGAGATGTGGTGAGAGACAATGTGGGGAGGGAGGGAGGAGGAGAGATGAGGGAGAGAGCCATGAACTCTCTCCCTCTCCCTCTTGTCTCGTCATTTAGTCTCAAAATAGCCTTCACCTCCCAGCTTGCTTGTTTGTTTTTTTTTGTTTGTTTTTGTTTTTGTTTTCAGTTGAGACAGCACTGGTTAATAAAATGATGTAGGTTTCAGGGGTAAAATTCTACATCACCTATGTGTTGTGTGTTCACCCCCCCCCCCCCAAGGCTCCTGGCATCACCATTCCTCCCCCCTTAACCTTTTTCTACCCCCACCCCCTACCCCCTCCGGTAATCGCCCTGCTGTGGTCTGGGAGAGATTAAGCAAAGAAAAAACTTGCCTGGCGGGAGCAGGGTGCAGGGGGTCGATAGGGGAAAAGAGGGAACTGGGGTGGTACACCTGTCATACTCTCAACAGTAAAAATAAATTTCAAAAGAAAAGAACAAACTCAGCGGAAACCGTTTTTGGCTCAGTGGATAGAGCGTCGGCCTGCAGACTGAAGGGTCCCAGGTTTGATTCCAGTCAAGGGCATGTACCTTGGTTGCGGGCACATCCCCAGTGGGGAGTGTGCAGGAAGCAGCTGATTGATGTTTCTCTCTCATCGATGTTTCTAGGTCTCTATCCCTCTCCCGCTCTGTGAAACAGATCAATAAAACATATTTAAAAATAAAAGGATATAGGTCTCCCATGTACAGTTCCATAATACATCCTCCGAATATTGTATTGTGTTCACCATCCCAGTCAAGGCTCCTGTCACCATATGTTTGACCCTCTTGACCCTCCAGCCCCCTTCCCCTCTCATAACCACCACGCTGTGGTCTGTGCCTATGAGTCTGTGTGTGTGTGTGTGTGTGTGTGTGTGTGTGCTGCTTTGTTTTATACCCACAAAGGAGGGAAACCATATGGTTCTTACTTTCTTCCATCCGACTTATTTACTCAGCATGATACTCTCAGGATCCATCCATGTTTTATCAAATGACACTGTTTTCTTATTTTTCATATAGTTTCTCTTTTTTAATGTTTTTATTCATTTTTATTTTTTTCATCCTCACCTGAGGATATTTTCCCATTGATTTTTAGAGAGAGTGGAAGAGAGAGGGAGAGACAGAAATATGGATGTGAGAGAAACACATTGATGGGTTGCCTCCTGCACACTCCCTGCCTGACCAGGGAAGAGCCTGCAACCGGGGTGCATGCCCTTGACCGGAATTGAACCCGGGACTCTTCAGTCCGCAGGCCAACGTTCTATCCACTGAGCCAAACTGGCCAGGGCTGGGCTATATGTTGAATTCAAATGTCTCCTTCAAGTCGTGGATGTGTATGAACATGTTTCCTTGTGACCGCCCAAAATTCGTTCTTTTAAGTAAGCTTCCTCATTAATGTAATCAGCCAAGCAGCTGAGAGAGTGTGAGTGAGTGTGTGTGTGTGTGTTTTCCATCTCCAGGTATCCAGGTTCCTACGTGTTAGCACATGTGTCAAACACAAGGCCCGCGGGCCAAATCCGTCCCGCCAGGCCTTGCAATGTGGCCCGCACCGCGCTGTCATCACTGCACTCCGCTGCGTTTCCATCACAATGACAGTTTATGACTGTTCAGTAAACCATTCGGCCCACAATTTAGGCTGAATTTTAGATTTTGGCCCCTTCTCTGATTGAGTTCGACACCCCTATGTTAGAGGTTTGGGAAAACGTGGAAATCTTCACTTTAACTTTGACGAGGAAATTTGAATTAGGATGTAACCTTTCCCACTTGTTCTTAGAAATCAGTGGAGTCATTTTCCCTCCCACAACCCCCACCCCCGCTCTCACCACCAATGGGGTCGATGGTTTTCCTGGGTGTTACTTGGGAATGTGGAGAAACGCTCATTTTCTTGCTAGGGGTCTGTTTTGAATAATCAGCACATAAACGTTATCATCTGTCCATTGTCAGTAATTTTCTTCTCTCTCTGTCTCTGTCTCTCTCTCTCTCTCTCTCCCCCTCTCTCCCCTCTCCGTCTCTGTCACTCATAGATGGGTAATGGTAACAGCTCAATTATTTTAATAAAACTCTTATTTCTACCAGCTTCCACTAAGATGATGCTTTCACTGGAAATGCCTTTCCCTATTTTAGAGGAAGCCAACACGACAGGGAGGTATAAAGCAAAACGTGTCCTTTGATTCACCCTCCCCACTCACCCCATGTCCTGCTCATCCCCCAGAACAGTGCGTGTGGGGGAGAGGGGGCACTGATAGCTCACAGGTGAGCCACGTTCTGGCTGGGGCTGGGCACTAAGGCTGCAGAGCTTGAGTGGACACACCTGCCTCGTTGTTTTTGTGGAGAGGATTACAGGTGTCCCCCGTTTTTCCCCATTTTCCCCCCACCCGCCTCTGCCCCCTCCCCAGGCCTTCACCCCTCTGTTGTCTGCGTCCCCGGGCTGTGCCTGCACCCGTACACGTTCTCCGGTTCATTTCTTCCTGCCTCCTCCCCCTTCCCTGTGAGGTTCCACCCTCCGTTCCACGCTTCCATGCCTCTGGGCCTATTTTGTTCATCACTTAGTTCATTCGATTCCACGTGTGAGTGAGATCATGCGATCCTTGTCTCTCTCTGACCGGCTTATCTCACTCAGCAGGATGCTCTCCGGGTCCCTCTGTGCCTCTCACAGGGTACAAGGTCCTCCTTTTCCACGCTGCAGAGTATCTCCCGGTGTGAATGCACTACAGCTGCTGCTGCCTTTGTTGTTTATTTTTTAAATAAATCTTTATTCAGATTATTACAATTGTTTCTCTTCTCCCCCCCCCCCCCATAGCTCCCCTCCACCTGGTTTTCATCACACCCTCTGCCCTTACCCCCCCCAACAGCTGTCCTCATCCATAGGTTTACGATATTTGTCCAGTCTCTTCCCGTACCCCCCACACAGACACCCCTTTCCCCCTGAGAATGGTCAATCCCCTCCCATTCTGTGCCCCTGGTTCTATTCTATTCACCAGCGTATTCTGTTCTCAGATCTTTAATTTACTTGGCTTTTAGACTCACTTGTTGATAGATGTGTATTGGTTGTTCATCATTTTTGTCTTTACTTTTTTCTTCTTTCTCTTCTTAAAGAACACCTTTTAGCATTTCCTATAATATTGGTTTGGTGCACCACAGCTTCTTTATCGTCTCGTCCACGGATGGGCACGGGGGCTGGCTCCAGATCTTGTCTCTTGTAGATAACGCTGCAGCGAACACCGGGGGGGGGGGGGGCACGTGTTCCTTCTGATGGGAGCGCACCTGTCCTCGGTCAGCAGCGGGTGCCGAGTGATATTGGCAGTTAGAGAGCACAGAGCTCCTGCGAGACTGCCCTCCACAGAGATGGCCCCAGCCCAGTGGTGGGCAAACCTCGGCTCTCGAGCCACCTGCGGCTCTTTGGCCCCTTGAGTGTTTAGCAAAGGCCAGCTTAGGAGTCCCCTCATTAAGTTAATAACCATGTACCTACCTATACAGCTTAAGTTTAAAAAATTTAGCTCTCAAAAGCAATTTCAACCGTTGTACTGTTGGTATGTGGCTCTGTTGACTAATGAGTTTGCCGACCATTGCCCTAGCTGATTTGGCTCAGTTGATAGAGCTTCGGCCTGCGGACTGAAGGGTTCCAGGTTCAATTCCAGTCAAGGGCACATGCCCGGGTTGTGGGCTCGATCCCCAGTGGGGGGCGTGCAGGAGGCAGCCGGTCAATGGCTCTCGCTTGTGGAGAGCGGTCACAGTGTGTGGACAGGTCCAAGCCTCGGACTGAGGGCACAGTCCTCTCATGGCCACGTGCACGTCTCAGCCTGGAGGGCAGAGCCTCCCAGCACCAAGATAGCCAGCAGCTGCGGTTGTGAGCTTGCACCTGTGGTCCAAACACGGGCTCCACGGCCCCACTGCCTGAGTGACGTGGGCTTCAGAGTTCAGGTGCACGTCGTTGAGTGGGATCAAAACCCTCGAGAACGTTGTAAACATCACAAGTTCGCAAGCAGAAGGCAGTATATTGCAAGGACATTCTTTGCTGCCAGTTATCATAGGCTGTTTTAAGTTAGAAAACTGAATAGCAACACCGAATGCTGCAGAAATGCACTTTTGCTCAGTAATACCTGAGTTGTTGCAATATCTGATTATCCATTTGGCTGTGAGAAAAAAATTCTCCACTGTAACTGATGGTTGTTGCCGTAATAGTGTATCGCCTGTATGTCTACCTCTAGCAATGGGCTTTACGTGCTAGATTTTAATATCCTTGAGCCTAGGCAAGTGCGCACTTCTTTTTAAAAAAGAAACGGGGTTTACTTGCACAAAGCAGATTGGTTGGGGAAGATCGTTAATGCCCTTGAAGTGGTTTTCGGTGGGTGTGGAACAGATGGTGAGAATTTGAATTGGTCCCTTTTGTTATAGTAGTATTGAAATTAAGCCTACTTAATTTATCAAGCCATGTTCGTGCCCTGGTTTTATATATTATACTTGTACCTATCAATCAACATTGTGATACTTGGGAAAAAAATTAAAAAGAAGTGACGAACAAGATAGGACCAGAAGCAGGAGGCATGGATCAGACGAAGAGACCTCAGAGAGAGAGGGAGTGGGGTGGGAGGGAGGGCAGGGCATGCGATCCTGGGATGCAGACTCTCCTTTGACCCTTGTCCCTCTCCCCCTCCCTGACCCCCACCAGGTCCCATCTGCTCCCTGCAACCCCTCCCTCCGCACCGGGACCCTCCGCCGGGCAGGCGTCGCGATGGGGGAGGTGGGCGTGTCGCCCTTCTCGGACTGCGGCCTGGGCTGGTGCCTCCAGCAGCTGGACCAGGAGGAGTTGCAGGCGTTCAAGGAGCTGCTCATGGGCAGCGCGGCGGGGCTGCTGCCCGGCGCCTTCCCCTGGGAGGAGGTGCCCGGGGCGGACGCCCAGCGCCTGGCCTTCCTGCTGCACGGGCACTGCCGCGCGGTGGTGGTCTGGAGCGCCGCCATGGACATCTTCCAGGAGCTGAGCCAGCCCGTGCTGGCGCAGAAGGCCAGGGAGGAGATGGAGAGTGAGTACGGCCCTCTCTCCCCCTCTCTCCCCCCGGTGTTCCTAACCCTCTCTCCCTCTCCCTTCCTCTCTGCAAAAAAAATCAGCAAAATAGCCGAAACCGGTGTGGCTCAGTGGATAGGTCAAGGGCATGTACCTTGGTTGCGGGCACATCCCCAGGGGGGAGGGGGGATGCAGGAGGCAGCTGATGGATGATTCTCTCTCGTCGATGTTTCTAACTCTCTATCCCTCTCTCTTCCTCTCCGTAAAGAATCAATTAAAAATATATTTTTAAAAAATTAAAATAAAACAAAAAATCAATAAAATATACTTAGAAAGAAAGAGAAGAAAAAAGCTGCCCAGTCAGCCAGCATGACTCAGTGGTTCAGCGTGAACCTGGAAACCAGGAGGTCGTGGTCCGATGCCTGGCTCCACCCCCAGGAGGGGGCATGCAGGAGGCAGTTGATCCATGATTTTTTTAAAATACATTTTATTGATTTCTTACAGAGAGGAAGAGAGAGGGACAGAGAGTTAGAAACATTGATAATGAGAAAGTAACATCAATCAGCTACCTCCTGCACACCCCCCGCTGGGCGTATCGGGACGATGCTCGAACCCACTGAGCCCCAGCCAGGGCCGTGGCTGTGACATCGTGGCCGCTGTTCTGTCCTCTGTGTTGCAGAATGTTCCCTGGCTGAAATCCTGCAGGATTTGACACCCACGAGGACTGACCGAGGAACGAGCATGGGCCAGCCTCCAGGTCAGTGAGGGGGCTGGGGCGCGGGTTTCCTCTCTCGGTCCGAGGCCCTGCCATCCACTGCGCTACTCACCCCAGAAGTCGGTCGTTATTTTTAGTGTTAAGAGGCCCGGTGCACGAAATTCGTGCAGGAGTGGAGTCCTTCTGCCTGGGGAGTAATAGGGGCCAATCAGGGCCGTCTCATCCAGATCTAAGGCGTGTCGGGCCCCATCTTGTCCAGTCCTGATTGGCCAGACACACACACACACACACACACACACACACACACGCAGCAAGCTAACCTACCACTTGGAGCATCTGCCCCTGGTGGTCAATGCATGTCATAGCAACAGGTAAGTTGACTAGTCTGTTGGACACATACCGTGTTTCCCCGAAAATAAGACATCCTCCGAAAATAAGACCTACTTACAGGTTTCCTTCTGAGTGAAATATAAGGCATTCCGCCCCCCCCCCCGAAAATAAGCCCCCCCTCCAAGCTAAACATGAGAGATTTGATTCTGAAAGAAATGGAGTCACAAGAAATCCACCAGGAAATTCAGGAATTGGATTGTTATGATGATGTTCCAGAAGATGATGACATGATTGTCATTGAATAAATGAGTAAATTCTTGATACTGTAGGATTCAGTTTGTCTGGTTTGTGTTGACAACTACCGTACTACCGTACCATATACAGGTAATAAATTTCTCCTATTTTCATTTAACAATAAATGTGTACCATATTCTTCTTCATGGAAAAATAAGACGTTCCCTGAAAATAAGACCTAGCGCATTTTTGGGAGCAAAAATTAATATAAGACACTGTCTTATTTTTGGGGAAACAGGGTAGCATAGTAGGCTTTTATATATATATAGATAGATGTTTATTTCTGATTTTTTCTCTACCTTCCACCTATTTCATCAGGAAATCCTATGAGACCTACCTCTGACATAGGAATTGTTTCGCTGCCTTTTTAAAAAATATATATTTTATTGATTTTTTCAGAGAGGAAGAGAGAGGGATGGAGAGTTATAAACATCGATAAGAGAGAAACATCGATCAGCTGCCTCCTGCACGCCTCCTACCGGGGATGTGTCCGCAACCAAACTGTCAGCATATGCCGGGAAGCAGAACCTCAATGAATTGAGATGATGCTCCAGAGAATGGCGGGTACATTTCTGTTTATAAATTGCCATCGAAGGAGGGACATAGGTGGGTGACATGAAATCCATTGGTTGTGGAGTAAGGAGGCGGGAGAAAGCAAAGCGGTGGGAAACCCCTGGGATTGGATAAAAAGTAAAACGATGGCCGAAACCGGTTTGGCTCAGTGGTAGAGCGTCGTCTGTGGACTGAAAGATCCCAGGTTCGATTCTGGTCAAGGGCATGTACATTGGCTGCGGACACATTTCCAGTGGGGGGTGTGAAAGAGGCAGCTGGTTGATGTTTCTCTCCCATCGATGTTTCTAGCTCTCTATCTCTCTCCCTTCCTCTCTGTAAAAAATCAATAAAATATACTTAAAAAAAAAAAAGTAAAACAATGGGCGTGTACTTAGGTGAGTGCAGTAACAATTAACATGATAAGGAATTCGAGGCTTATTCATATTTTCTCTTCCCTCCCCCCTCCCCCTTTTCCTTCCTCTTTCTCTCAAAATCAAAAAACATAGCTGTATAAACACAGTGGGTGGGACTTCATTCTTCTCCCCTCTTGCCTGCAGAAGTGCCTCAAGTTGTACTGCCAGAGGATGCCATAGCAGCAGAGACAAGAGACCAAGGTAAAGAACTTTGGCTTGTTCATGTTTTCTTTCTTTTTTTTTTTTTTAAAGAATTTTAGTGAGTTTATTTGAGCCAAACTGTCAGCATATGTTGGGAAGCAGAACCTCAATGAATTGAGATGATGCTCCGGAGAATGGCGGGTACATTCCTGTTTATAAATTGCCATCGAAGGAGGGACATGGGTGGGTGACATGAAATCCATTGGTTGTGGAGTAAGGAGGCGGGAGAAAGCAAAGCGGTGGGAAACCCCTGGGATTGGATAAAGTAAAATGATGGGCGGGTACTTAAGGGAGTGCAGGAATAATTAACGTGATAAGGAAGGAATTTGAGGCTTACTCATATTTTCTCTCCCCCCCCCCAACCTCCACAACCAAAGTACATGCCCTTGACTGCAATCGAACCCGGGACCCTTCAGTCCGCAGGCCGACGCTCTATCCACTTCATCTTTCTTTCAAAATCAATAAAAAACGTATCTGCCCTGACTGGTTTGGTCCAGTGGATAGAGCGTCAGTCTGTAGACTGGAGGGTCCCCGGTTTGGCAGGGCGGAGGTGAACTCTGGTGCTGCAGACCCTGTGTCGGGGACCCGGTGGGTCTGACCTGGGTACCTCGCCTCTGAGTGGGTGGGACTTCCTTCTTCTCCCCCCTCTTATCTGCAGAAGTGCCACAAGTTGTACTGCAAGAGGATGCCATAGCAGCAGAGACAGAAGACCAAGGTAAAAAACTCTGGCTTACTCCTCCCCCATACCCCTCTCCCTTCCTCTTTCTCTCAAAATGAATTTATAAAAAAAACACACATCTGCCCTAGCCGATTTGGCTCAGTAGATAGAGCGTCGGCCTGCGGACTGAAGGGTCCCGGGTTCGATTGCAGTCAAGGGCAGGTACCTTGGTTGCGGGCACATCCCCAGTAGGGAGCATGCAAGAGGCAGCTGGTCAATGTTTTTCTCTCATCGATGTTTCTAACTCTACCCCTATCCCTTCTTCTCTGTAGATAGGAAGGTAGAGGGATAAAATAAATTTTTTAAAAAAAAAACATAGGAAAAAAATAATAAATAGAAAACATATCCTTGCACTTGTCCAGCATGGCTCAGTGGTTGGGCATCAACCTATGAACCTGGTCAGGACACACACCTGGGTTGCAGGCTCCATCCCCAGTAGGGGGCGTGCAGGAGGCAGCCGATCCATGATTCTCTCTCATCATTGATGTTTCCATCTCTATCTTTCCCTTCCTTTCTGAAATAAGTTTACATTTTTTTTGTATGTGCAAGTGAGGAATAATATCGATAATAATCACAAGGCGAAACTGGTGTGGCTCAGTGGATAGAATTTTGGCGCTGCACTCAGGGATCCGGTGGGTCTGACCTGGGTACCTCGCCTCTGAGTGGGTGGGACTTCCTTCTTCTCCCCCCTCTTGCCTGCAGAAGTGCCACAAGTTGTGCTGCAAGAGGATGCCATAGCAGCAGAGACAGAAGACCAGGGTAAAGAACGCTGGTTTATTCATATTCCCCTACCCCTGCCCCTCTCCCTTCCTCTTTCTCTCAAAATCAATAAACATATCTGCCCTAACCCTGTGGCTCAGTGGATAGAGCCTCGCCTGTGGACTCAAGGGTCCCGGGTTCGATTCCCGTCAAGGGCATAAACCTTGGTGGCGGGCACCTCCCCAGTGCGGGGTGTGCAGGAGGCAGCTGATCAATGTTTCTCTCTCGTCGATGTTTCTGACTCTATTCCTCTCCCTTCCTCTCTGTAAAAAAAAAATAAATAAAATAAAATACATAAATTTTTAAAAATCATCATCATCATCATCGCAGTAACACATGGCTGAGAAGAAAGTCTCCTGCATGTAGAGAGTCTTCCATTGTTGCCTCTTATTTTTAAAAAAATATTTTTTGATTTTTTTTTTTTTTTTTTTTTTTTTTTTTATGGAGAGGAATGGAAAGGGATAGAAAGTCAGAAACATCGATAAGAGAGAAACATCTGCCGAAACCGGTTTGGCTCAGTGGATAGAGCGTCGACCTGCGGACTGAAAGGTCCCGGGTTCGATTCCGGTTGGGGGCATGCACCTTGATTGCGGGCACATCCCCGGTAGTGGGTGAGCAAAAGGCAGCTGATCAATGATTCTCTCTCCTCGATGTTTCTAACTCTCTATCCCTCTCTCTCCCTTTCTGCGAAAAATCAATAAAATATATATTTTTTTTTTAAAAAAAGAAACATCTATTCACTGCCTCCTGCACGCCCCCTACTGGGGATGTGCCTGCAACCCAGGTACATGCCCTTGACCGGAATCGAACCTGGGACCCTTGAGTCTGCAGGCGGACGTTCTATCCACTGAGCCACCCCGGTGAGGGCCCAACGTTGCCTCTCCTTCCTCTCCTCTCTCTCCCGCCCTCTCCGTCAGCCATGGGCCCCGGAGGCCATGAGGGGAGGTACAGACGCTACGTGATGGTGCGGTTCGCCCCGACGCGGGACGCCCACCACAGCTTCCGAACCTTTGCCGCGGATTGTCGTCCGGCGCAGGCTCTGTCGGCCGCCTTCGCCCCGGACCCCCAGGGCTTCCGGCCGCTCACCGTGGTCCTGCACGGCTGCCCGGGCGTCGGGAAGTCGGCCCTGGCCAGGCGGGTCCTGCTGCACTGGGCCCGCGGGGAGCTCTACGCCGGCATGTTCGCCTTCGCCTTCCTCCTGGACGCCCGGGACCTGCCCTGGAGGGGGAGTGTCACCCTGGCCGAGCTCCTCTCCAGGGAGTGGCCGGGCCCCGAGGTGCCCACGGCCCACATCCTGGCCCAGCCCGAGCGGCTCCTGCTCATCATCGACGGCGTCGGCCGCCTGGACCTCAAGCCCCATGACATCAGCTACAGCCTGGGGGAGAGAGATCCCGTGTCCCACCTGGTGGGCAGCCTGCTGGCGAAGGCCCTGCTGCCAGAGTGCTCGCTGCTGCTCACCGCCCGCGACGAGGACCTGGAGAAGCTGCAGGGGCTGCTGGTCTCCCCCCGGTACCTCCTCGTCCAGGGCATCGCCACGGAGACCCGGGTCCGGGCCCTCCTCACGCACGTCCAGGGCGAGCACCGGAGGGCGGGCGCCCTGCATGCGGTGCTGGACAACCACACGCTGACCGGCCCCTGCAAGGTGTCCCTCACATGGTGGCTGCTGTGCCGGGCCCTGGAGCTGCAGGCGGCGCCGGGGACGGGCCTGCCCCCGGCCGCCGGCGCCTGCCAGACCCTCACGGGGCTGTACGCCACCTTCGTGGCCCACCAGCTGGCCCCTCCCGGCGACGAGGACGCGGGGCGCTGCCTCGGCCCCGACGAACGGACGGTCCTGAAGGTAAGGGGACCAGACGGCCCCAATTCTAACCAGCTGTCCCATGTCCTGCAGTGTTTAAAAAAGGTCCCGATGTTTGTTTGTTTGTAAACGTATCTTATTTATTTTTTACAGAGAGGAAGAGAGGGATAGGGAATAAGAAACATCGATGAGAGAGAAATGTCCATCAGCTGCCTCCTGCACACACCCCCCCACTGGGGATGTGTCCGCAACCAAGGTCCATGCCACATGTGTCAAACACAAGGCCCGCGGGCCAAATCCGTCCCGCCAGGCCTTGCAATGTGGCCCGCACCGCGCTGTCATCACTGCACTCCGCTGCGTTTCCATCACAATGACAGTTTGTGACTGTTCAGTAAACCATTCGGCCCACGATTTAGGCTGGATTTTAGATTTTGGCCCCTTCTCTGATTGAGTTCGACACCCCTAGTCCATGCCCTTGACCGGAATCGAACCCGGGACCTTTCAGTCCGCAGACCGGTTTTGGTAAGGGGGTTAGGGGGTGTTCTTGATGAAAAATTTGGTCTATATGGAGCCACAAGAATTCTCATAGAATTCAAAAATAGTTTTGTAATTTTATATTTTTTTTATTATAATTTCAATGTAAGTACAATGTACAAATAAAATTTAAAAAAATTATGGCCGAAACCAGTGTGGCTCAGTGGATAGAGCGTCGGCCTGTGGACTGAAGGGTCCCGGGTTCGATTCCAGTCAAGGGCACATACCTTGGTTGCGGGCACATCCCCAATAGGAGGGTGTGCAGGAGGCAGCTGATGGATGATTTTTCTCTCATCGATGTTTCTGGCTCTGTATGCCTCTCCCTTCCTCTCAGTAAAAAAAAAAATCAATAAAAAACATATATTTTTAAAAACACCCACCCCACCCCGGTCCATGGTGTCCGGCTTTACCCATGTCCGTTCCCGCCGCCTCCCGCAGGGCCTGTGCCGGCTGGCAGCGTGCGGCCTGTGGGCCGGCCGCTCCCTGTTCTCCGCCGAGGACCTGGGTGCGGCCGGGCTGACGGAGCGGGAGCTGGCCGGGCTGTTCCAGAGGCACCTGCTGCTCCCGGACAGCCAGGGCGAGCGCTGCTTCTCCTTTCCGCACCCGAGCCTGCAGGCCTTCTTCGCGGCCCTGTGCTACGTGCTGGAGGGCCTGGAGGCCGGGTGGGCGCCCCAGGCCCCGGGCGGTGAGGCCTCGGGGCAACCCCCGGAGCCCCGGGCCTGCGACCAGCTGCTGCTGCAGGCCCGGCGCTTCCTGTTCGGCCTCCTGAGCCGCAAGGCGGCCGGCGCCCTGGAGGGGCTGCTGGGCTGCGCCCTGGCCGCCCCGGCCGGCCTGAGGCGGCTGCTGCTGTGCTGGGTGGGCCTGCTGGGCCGGCAGCCGGCCGCCCCCGCCCCGGCCGATGCCCTGGAGGCCTGCTACTGCCTCTTCGAGACCCAGGACGAGGAGTTCGTCCGCGGGGCCCTGGGCGGGTTCCGGGAGCTGAGGCTGACGCTGGCCAGGACCATGGACCTGCTGGTGGCCGCCTTCTGCCTTGGGCGCTGCGGGCGGCTGCGGGCCGTCCGGCTGGACGTGAGGGAGGTGTTCCCCGAGGACGAGGCCGCCGAGGCCTGGCCCGTCATCCCCCGAGGGTGAGTGAGTGGCCCCCTCGGCCATCGTTCTTAATTAATCTCTTTATTGATTAAGCAGGGGTCTTCAAACTACGGCCCGCGGGCCACATGCGGCCCGCAGAGGAGTCTGATCCGGCCCGCCAGGTTTTTTGGGCAGTGAGCGCAGCCGAGGTGTTACAGTAGGAATTAGTAGTTCATATAGTCCGGCCCTCCAGCTCTCTGAGGGACCGTGATCTGGCCCCCACTTTAAAAAGTTTGAGGACCCCTGGATTAAGGTATCGCATGTGTGTCCTCAATCCCCCATTACAATCCCCCACCCCCCCACTAATGCCCCCCTGTTGCCCTTAACCACTGGTCAGGCTCCTATGTGTGCACACAAGTCCTTGGTTAGTCTCTCCCTTTACCCCCACCCTCCCTCTGAGGTCCGACCATCTGACCCCTGGCTCCTTGTCTCTGGGTCTGTTCTTGTTCGTCCATCTATGTTGTTCACCATTTCCCCCAGATGAGTGAGGTCATGTCCTACTGGAAATATAGTTATAAGAATCGAAAATGAGACAAGCAATAATCGTTATGCTGAGAGGCATATGAATCAGTCTGTGGTGAGTTTCTTTCTGGGCCATCAGTTCTTTTAAGACCCAATTTCAATGTCAAACAGTTCCTCATGTGTACATGTCAGCCGTGCTATTTCAGTCCTGGATGGTGGGCACCTGGTGCTAATGCAGGTCCAACCCTCTCTGGTTTGGTCCTGGGCAGCCTGCAGTGACACACAGCTGCTGACTGCTATCGCGTCGTCAGCATCTTCCATCTCTGGACTGCTTCTCTTCCGTCTTCATGGCTGGAGCAATATTTATAGTTCTTTAAACCCATCCAGCGGACGCCAGCGTTTCCTCCCCTCCCCCACGCAGGCTGCAGGCCAAGCCCCTGGTCCTCGAGTGGTGGGAGACCCTCTGCTCGGCGCTCAGCAGCCACCCCAGCCTGCAGCAGCTGGACCTCGCCGGCAGCGTCCTGAGCGAGTGGGCCCTGAGGACGCTGTGCGTCAAGCTGCGCCAGCCGGACTGCAAGATCCAGAAGCTGATGTAAGGCTTTCCCGGCCCTGCCTGCCCCGTGCCCCGGGCGTGGCCGTGTGCCGGCGCCAAGGCCCATCGGTAGACTGTATTGGGGGGGGGGGGGGGAGACACACATGTGGGGGAGGCATAAGAACCAAGCTCCCAGAAGCCAATGCGACGGGAAGGGACTCGAGACCTTGTGAGGGGATGACGGAGGTGGGTTCATGGCATTCGGGTTTTGAGGGATGAATAGGAGTTGGTTAGTAAGGGGGAAAAGAGAAGGGAGCTCACTCTGGGCGAGTGTCCAGCATGAGGCAATGAATGTAAAGATCAAAATGTATGATTTACTGAAGCACTTCAATCAGTCCTTAGTGTGTTTAAGGTCATAAGGTCCTATTATCAATATATACATATAAAAGGCTAGCTGAAACCAGTGTGGCTCAGTGGATTGAGCGTCGTCCTTCAGACTGAAGGGTCCCAGGTTCGATTCCGGTCAAGGGCATGTGCCTTGGTTGCGGGCACATCCCCAGTGGGAGGTGTGTGGGAGGCAACTGATCTATGATTCTCTCTCATCGATGTTTTGACTCTCTATTCCTCTCTTCCTCTCTGTGAAAAAAAAAATCAATAAAATAAATTTCTTAAAAGATCAATGAGAAAAACATCCTCAGGTGGGGGTGAACCACAGCGGAAAGAATAATAAGGCTGCACCTGACCATCTCACCCTCGCCCCCCTCGCCCCCCTGCAGGTTTAAAGGGACGCAGATCGCCCAGGGGCTGAATCACCTTTGGAAGACGCTGATCCTCAGCCAGAGCATCAGACACCTGAGCCTGGACAACATCCACCTGCAGGAGGAGGACATCTGGGTGGTGCAGGAAGCCCTGCGACACCCCCACTGTGTGCTGGAGTCTCTGAGGCGAGTCCCGGCCTGGCTCTCACTTCCTTTTCTTTCTTTTTTTTTAATTTAGGGAGCCTTTATTAGCCGGCCAGTCGGCCGGCCGGCGGCTGCTCTGCCTTTCTCCACACACAGAGTCCAGAGAGAAGCAACGACCCTTTGTGCAGGACCACTTTCTTTTTCTTTTTCTTTTTTTTATTAAGGTATTATATGTGTACATATCTTACCATTGCCCTCCCCTCACTTTCCTTTTTTAATCCTCATCTCAAAGATTTGTTCAGAGAGAGGAGGGGGGAGATCAAGAAAGAGAGAGAGAGACATCCGTCGGCTGCCTCCCACCCACGCCCTGCCCAGGGATCAAACTCACAGGCCAGGTGCGTGCCCTGAACAGGAATTGAACCCACAATCCCAGCCAACTGGAGCCATCCGGACAGAGTGGTTTTCACTTTTTTTTTTATATATATATTTTATTGATTTTTCACAGAGAGGAAGAGAGAGGGATAGAGAGTTAGAAACATCAATGAGAGAGAATCATCGATCAGCTGCCTCCTGCACACCCTCTACTGCGGATGTGCCCGCAACCAAGGTCCATGCCCTTGACCGGAATCGAACCCGGGACCTTTCAGTCCACAGGCTGACGCTCTATCCACTGAGCCACACCGGTTTCAGCACTTTTTTTTTTTTTTTTTTTTTTAATCCTCACCCAATGATATTTTCCCATTGATTTTTAGGGAGAGTGGAAAAGAGAGGGAAAGTAGAGAGAAACATTGATGTGAGAGACACAATCTACTGGTTGCCTCCTGCATGACCAGGGTTCGGTCCCAGCCAGACTTGGCCACAGCAGACAGTGCTGGGGACCCGCGGAGGGGCCCGGGGGCCGGGGGCGGCCCGGGGGGGTGGTTCACAAGCCGCCTCTCCTCTGTCTGCAGGCTGGATCACTGTGGGCTGACGGACGCCTGCTGCCCGCCCCTCGCCCAGACCCTGCTGGCCTCCCGCAGCCTGACCGCCCTGAGCCTGGCAGGCAACAAGGTCACGGACGAGGGCGTGGCCTCCCTCTGCGAGGCCCTGAAGGTGCCGCAGTGCGCCCTCCGCAGGCTCGTGTGAGTGCCGCCTCCTTTTTAAATTTATTTTATTAATTTCTTCATTGATTAAGGTATCACATATTTATCCTCAACCCCCCATTCCAATCCCCCACCTCCCCACACGCATGCCCCTACCCCCCTATTGTCCTTGACCCCTGGTTAGGCTCCTAGGTGTGCACACAAGTCCTTTGGTTGATCTCTCCCCTTTATCCCCACCCTCCCTCTGAGGTCCAACCGTCTGACCCCTGGCTCCTTGTCTCTGGGTCTGTTCTTGTTCACCCGTCTGTGTTGTTCACCATTTCCCCCAGATGAGTGAGGTCGTGTCCTACTGGAAATATAAGAATCAAAAATGAGACAAGCCATAATCGTTAGGCTGAGAGGCATATGAATCAGTCTGTAGTGAGCTCCTTTCTGGGCCACCAGTTTTTCTGAGACCCAATTTCCATGTCAAACAGTTCCTTATGTGTACATGTCAGCCAGGATATGTTTTATTTCTTAATACATTGATTTTCTACAGAGAGGAAGGGAGAGGGATAGAGAGTCAGAAACATCGATGAGAGAGAAACATCTTCCAGCTGCCTCCTGCACACCTCCCACTGGGGATGTGCCCGCAACCAAGGTACATGCCCTTGACCGGAATCGAACCTGGGACCCTTCAGTCCGCAGGCTGACGTGCTATCCACTGAGCCACACCAGTTATGGCTCGACGGGGAGTTCGAACACTCGCTATGGTGTGCACTGACCACCAGGGGGCAGCACGGAATGAAGAAAGACCCTGATCAGCCACGATGGCCAGCCAGGCCGAGGGTCCCTATCTGTGCACGAATTCCATGCACGGGGCCTCTAGTGATGATATTGATATAAAAGACAGCAGCCGGGCCCTAAACAATGTGGCTCAGTGGATAGAGCATCAGCCTGCGGACTGAAGGGTCCCAGGTTCGGTTCCAGTCAAGGGCATGTACCTTGGTTGCGGGCATATCCCCAGTAGGGGGTGTGCAAGAGGCAGCTGATCGATGACTCTCTCTCATCGATGTTTCTGACTCTCTATCCCTCTCCCTTCCTCTCTGTACAAAATCAATAAAATATATTTTAAATAAATAAATAGATGAAAAAGAAACATAAAAAGAGGGCAGCCAGTCCTGCGTGCGGGCTCCCGGCCGTGCCCGTGGGGGTCCAGCCCTCGCTCCGGGACCTGGAATGAGTGCCCGGGGGGGTGTCTGAGGGGCCGTCTCTCCCGCAGCCTGGGCAGCTGTGGCCTCACGGACGCCGCCTGCGCGCACCTGTCCGAGGCCCTCGCCGGCAGCCAGAGCCTGACGCACCTGGACCTGTCCACCAACCCGCTGGGCAAGGACGGCGTGGCCCTGCTGTGCCGCGGCCTCAAGGCCCTGGCCTGCGCCCTGCAGAGGCTGATGTGAGTGTGTCCCCCCTCCCGCTCCCCGGGGGCCCCGTGGCTCCCTGGCCGGCGTGGGCCCGTCTCAGCGCACGGAGCCAGGAAAGGTCCCTACGGGTCACCTTCCAGCTTCGCGCTTCCTAGGAACGTTCTCTCTCTCTCCGTTTGCATCTTCCTTTCTCTTTATTATTATTATTATTATTATTTTATTATTATTATTATATTTTGATTTTTTTTACAGAGAGGAAGGAAGAGGGATAGAAGTCAGAAACATCCATGAGAGAGAGACATCGATCAGCTGCCTCCTGCACACTCCCCACTGGGGATGTGCCCGCAACCAAGGCACATGCCCTTGACCGGAATTGAACCCGGGACCTTTCAGTCCGCAGGCCGACGCTCTGCCCACTGAGCCACACCGGTTTCCGCTGATCAATGTGATTTAAATTCTTTATTGTTGAAGGTATCGGCCAAAACCGGTGTGGCTCAGTGGATAGGGCATCAGCCTGCGTACAGAAAGGTCCCGGGTTCGATTCCGGTCAAGGGCATGTACAGTGGTTGCGGGCACATCCCCAGTGGGGGGTGTGCAAGAGGCAGCTGATGGATGTTTCTCTCTCATCGATGTTTCTAGCTCTCCATCCCTCTCTCTTCCTCTCTGTGAAAAATCAATAAAAATATAATTTTAAAAAATAGTCTTTAAAAAAAAAAAAAAAGTGTTGCATTGCCTCCTTTTCCCCCATTGACCTCTCCCCGGCTTCACCTGACCTCCACCCCCCAGCTCAGGCCTCACCCCTGCTCTTACCACCAGCGCCAGCAGCCTTCTAGACACCAGCATCACCCTCCGCGGACAGGCGGCCCCGGGAGGGGTCGGGGGTCGGGGGTCAGGGGTCAGAGGTCGGGGTGTGACCTCCCTGACCCCTGGCCGCCCCGCAGGCTGCGGAACTGCGGCCTGGATGCCGTCAGCTGCGGCTTCCTGTCGCTGGGGCTGGTGGGCAACCGGCACCTGACGCACCTGAGCCTCAGCCTGAACGCCGTGGGCGACGCCGGCTCTGACCTGCTGTGTGAGGCGCTGCTGGAGCCGAACGCCCGGCTCCGGGACCTGGAGTGAGTGCCCCCCGGGGGGGGGGGGGGCGGAGGTCAGGAGCCAGGAGCCAGCCCGGCTGGTGCGGCTCAGTGGATAGAGCGGCGGCCTGCGGACTGAGGGGTCCCGGGTTCGATCCCGGTCAAGGGCATGGGCCTTGGTTACAGGCACATCCCCAGTGGAGGGTGTGCAGGAGGCAGCTGATCGATGATTCTCATCGATGTTTGTAGGTCTCTCTCCCTCTCCCTTTCTCTCTGTAAAAAAATAATAATAATAATAATAATAATAATTTTTTAAAATAAAAGGAGACGGGAGCCAGAGGACAAGCCCAGGGTGCCCGCACTCCATCTTTACCTCTTTATCCTTTCCTTTTCTCATTTCTCATTGGTCTGAGAGAGGGAGACAGACACTGGTGTGTTCCTCTGAGCGATGCATCTGTTGGCTGATGCCTGTATGTGCCCTGTCGGGGATCGAACCGCCACCGTGGAGTAGGAGGACCATGCCCTCAGGCACTGAGCTGCCTGGTGGGAGTTAGCGGCCCAGGAAGCAGGCTCCACCCACGGAGACGCCATGGAAGGGGGGGGCGGTTGGGGTTGCATTGAAGTGCTCAGGGACTAGGGCAGGGGTGAGTGTCCACCTAGGAGCCAGGAGGTCAGGGCTGGATTCCCAGTCCCGTGTTTCGGGCTCGGTCCCCAGTGGGGTGGGGGGTGCAGGAGGCAGGCGGTCCACGGTTCTCCTCACTGCTGTCTCTCTCCCTCTCTCCCCCTCCCTCCCTCCCTCCCTCCCTCCCTCTCTCTCCCTCTCTCTCCCTCTCTCTCCCTCTCTCTCCCTCTCTCTCCCTCTCTCTCCTTCTCCTTCTCTCTCCTTCTCTCCCTCTCCCTCTCTCTCTCTCTCTCTCCCTCTCTCTCCCTCTCTCTCCCTCTCTCTCCTTCTCTCTCCTTCTCTCTCCTTCTCTCTCCTTCTCTCTCTCCCCCTCTCTCTCTCTCTCTCTCTCTCTCTCTCTCTCTCTCTCCCCCTCTCTCTCTCTCTCTCTCTCTCTCTCTCTCTCACCACCCCCCCCACACACACAGGCTGGTGCGCTGCGGCCTCTCGGCCGCCTGCTGCCGGAAGCTGGCCCTGGTGATCCGGACCAGCCCGCACCTGCAGAGCCTGGACCTGGCGGCCAACGCGCTGGGGGACGGCGGCGTGGCCACCCTGTGCGCCAGCCTGCTGCTCAAGACCGCCCCGCTGCGGAGGCTCGGGTAGGCCGGGTCAGGGGTCAGGCTCAGGGCTCAGGGCCGGGGTCAGGGCTTAAGGCTGGGGTCAGGGGTCAGGCTCAGGGCCGGGGTCAGAGGTCAGGCTCAGGGCCAGGGGTCAGGGCTTAAGGCTGGGGTCAGGGGTCAGGCTCAGGGCCGGGTCACGCTCAGGGTCGGGATCAGGCTCAGGGCTCAGGGCCAGGGGTCAGCGCTTAAGGCTGGGGTCAGGTGTCAGGGGTCAGGCTCAGGGCTCAGGGCCGGGGTCAGGGCCAGGGATCAGGGCTCAGGGCCAGGGGTCAGGGCTCAGGGCTGGACTCAGGGATCAGGGCTTGGGGCCGGGGTCAGGGGTCAGGGCCAGGGCTGGGGTCACAGTTCAGGCTGGGGATCAAGCCTGCAACCCTGGGCATGTGCTTTTGACTGGAATCAAACTGGGATCCTTTTTTTAAAAAAATATATATTTTATTGATTTTTTTTTAACAGAGAGGAAGGGAGAGGGATAGAGAGCTAGAAACATCGATGAGAGAGAAATATCCACCAGCTGCCTCTTGCACGCCCCCTCCTGGGGATGTGCCCGCAACCTAGGCACATGCCCTTGACCAGAATCGAACCCGGGACCGTTCAGTCCGCAGGCCCAGGCTCTATCCACTGAACCACTGGAGCCGGGGCTCACAGCATCGGGGCGCACGCATTCTCCCTGTGGGATGGAGTGCGATGCTTCTCTTTTCTTTTTTCTTTTTTCTGTGAAAGGGGAGGTCAAAGGGGCGGTGGGAAGAGGAAGGGGGCGCAGCGCTGATCTCGGGGTCACCCCCCCTGTGTCTCCCCCCCTTGTGTCCCCCCACAGGCTGGAGGCCTGCGAGCTGACCTCGGGGTGCTGCGAGGCGCTGGCCTCGGTGATGCTCTGCAGCCGCGCCCTGCACAGCCTCAACCTGCTGCGCAACCCGCTGGGCGCCGAGGGTGTCCGCACGCTCTGCCGCGCCTTCGCGCGCCCCGCGTCCAAGCTGCGCGTCATCGGGTGAGTCCGCGGCCGTCCATCCGTCCGTCCAACCGGCCTCCGGGGACAGGCCTCTCTCCCAGACAGCGGGGGCAGCGGGAGGGGCAGGTCCTCACACACACGCGATGCTGATCCTCAAAAACCTAAAAACAGCCTGAGCCGGTGTGGCTCAGGGGACAGAGCGTCAGCCTGCGGACTGAAGCGTCCCGGGTTCGATTCCGGCCAAGGGCGTGCACTGCAGGAGGCAGCCGGTCCATGATTCTCTCTCCTCATGGACATATCTTTCTCCTTCTCCCTTCCTTTCTGAAATCAACAGATACATCTTAAAAATAAATCAGTAAACATATCCTCGGGTGAGGATTTAAAAAAAAAAGATGGAAGGTTCAGCCCTAGCTGATTGAACCTGTGGACTGAAGGGTCCCGGGTTCGACTCCGGCCCCGGGCACGAACCTCCGTTACAGGCTCCTCCCAGGCTGGTAGGGCGTGGGCAGGAGGCAATCCGTCCATGTTTTCTCCCACATCAAGGTTTCTCTTTTCCTCTCTTCCACTCTAACAATCAATGGAAAAAGTCCTCCAGTGAGAATTAAAAAAAAAAAGGCGGGGGGGGGGGGTGCGGGGGGGGGGGGGGGGAGGTGTCAGGTTCGCTAGGGCAGTGTTTCCCAACCTTCTCTCATGATGAGAATCACCTGGTGGAGTTGTTAAAACACAGATTCCTGAATCCCAACTAAGAAGTGCTAAACTAGAATTTTTGAGAACATATAGGTAAAAATTGCATACCTAACTTAGTGCTCTGTATATAAAATCTGTCTTAGAACACTAGTTAAGTATACAATTTTACCTATATGTTCCCAAAAATTCTAGTTTAGCACTTCTTAGTTGGGATTCAGGAATCTGTGTTTTAACAACTCCACCAGGTGATTCTCATCATGAGAGAAGGTTGGGAAACACTGCGCTAGGGGATCCAGGGATGCGGAGGGAGGCGAGCTGAAGCAGAGCCCTGTGCCCCTGCCCCTGCCCCGCCCCCTGAGCCTCTCCCTGCCCCCCCCCCGCTCCGCCCCCTGTGTTCTCTGGCCCGCCCCTGCCCCACCCACTAACCCCTGCCCCGCCCGCAGGCTGTGGAAGTGGCAGTTCCCTGAACACATCGTCAAGCTGCTGGAGGAGGCCGAGCTCCGCAAGCCCAACCTGGTCATCGACGGCCGCTGGTACTCCTCGGGCGCAGAGGACGAGGGCGACCGGTACTGGTGGAGAAACTGAGGCCGGCCCCCTTCCCCCTCCCTTTCCCCCCCTTCCCCCTTCCCTCCCCCCTCCCTTTCCCCTCCCTTCCCTGCCCGACCCGCTCCGCTGGGCTCCGGCGGAGAAACCCGGGACCGGCTGTGCCCAAGGACCCTCCGCGGGGCGGGCCTGAGGTCCCACAGCCCCAAAGCCTCACTGCGGGGTCCCGGATGTACTGCGTCCGCCCCGGATGTAGGACCCAGACTGAGCACCGAGCGAGCGGCTGGGCACTGCCTCTCCCCCTCCGAGCCTGGAGCGTGGACCCAATAAACACAGCATTCGGCAGACGTGTCCGGTGTGCTTTATATATTTTACTTTTTAAAAAAATGTATTTATTGATTTCAGAGATGGAGAATGAGAGAAAGAGAAACATCCATGATGAGAGAGAATCATGGGTCGGCTGCCTCCTGCACGCCCCCCCTCCCCCCACTGGGGATTGAGCCCGCAACCAGCCTGTGCCCTTGACCGGGAATTGAACCGGTGACCTCTTGGTTCAACCACTGAGCTACCCCGGCTGGGCCATTCCCTCTTTAAAAAGTCTCCTTTGTGACCAAACGTATCTGTTCCTGAGCCAGAGGCCCCCATCTGTGAGCCAGCAGAAGGGTCCACGAGCGGATGGACCGGGGTGGCTGCGGGCGTCCCGTTCAGACGTTTACGATCTGCCTGCCGCCTGGGAGCGCCTGGGGGAGACGCCCTCCCCGAAGCCTCCGTCTTCTCTGTGAAATGGGGGCGATGCATGCTCCAGGGAGGTCTTAGGCGATGGAGGAAGGGGAGCGGAGCTGTCACTCAGACCCGCGGCGGGCTCTGTCCATGGTGCTGAAGGCTCGCCCTGGAGGCCGGGGCAGGGGAATGGGGGGGAGTTGGGGGAGGTTCTTGGGCAGGCTTTGAACCCGCGGGCAGGAGAGGAGGCGAGATGGAGGAGGCCATAAACACCCCTTGAGCCGAAACCAGTTTGGCTCAGTGGATAGAGCGTCGGTCTGCAGACCGAAGGGTTCCAGGTTCGATTCCTGTCAAGGGCATGTACATTGGTTGCCGGCACATCCCCGGTGGGAGGTGTGCAGGAGGCAGCTGATGCATGTTTCTCTCTCATTGATGTTTCTAGTTCTCTCTCTCCTTTCCTCTCTGTAAAGAATCAAAGATCCCATCACCCACAGCCTCTTTGGGAGGTAGTGGGAAATGGATGAGCGGATTATCTCACACACACACACACACACACACACACACACGCTCAGCCAGCGTGTCTCCGTGGTTGAGCAGGAGGTCATGATCCAATTCCCAGTCAGTGGCACAGGCCCGGGTTGTGGGCTCAATTCCCAGCGTGGGGCGTGCAGGAGGCAGCCGATCGAGGATTCTCTCCCATTATTGATGTTTCTCATTCTCTCCCTCTCCCTTCCTCTCTGAAATCAATAAAAAACACTTTTGTTAAAAGATGTGTATAGCTGAAACCGGTTTGGCTCGGTGGATAGAGCGTCAGCCTGCGGACTGAAGGGTCCCAGGTTTGATTCCGGTCAAGGACATGTACCTTGGTTGTGGGCCCATCCCCAGTAGGAGGTGTGCAGGAGGCAGCTGGTTGATATTTCTCATCGGTGTTTCTAGCTCTCTATCCCTCTCCCTTCCTCTCTGTAAAAAATCAATAAAATATATTTTTAAAAAGATGCGTATAGTTGTCCCTCAGTAGCCGTTGATGGATTGGTTCCCAGACAATCCGTGGATGCCGAGTCCCTTATGTGACAGGACGTGGTACATACATGCGTGTAACCTGTAGGTGCTCCCCTGGGTTGTACGTGTGTAGAGTTTACCCCAGAGGCCATCCCCTTGGGCCCCCAGAACCAGCTCTACCAACTGGGAGAGAAACCCAGCGTGGGTTGGGCCTGCAGGTGGCGAAGACCCCTGCTCCGGGGTCCTGGTACCGAGAGCCCTGGGCTGGGGGTGTCTGACGCTGAAGGAGGCACACACCTCCAGCCGAGCGTCCCATTCCATACAATCCCGTGTGGCCAGGCGAACTGTCCGAGAGAAGCCAGAAGCCAGATCTGTGTTGTTGCTGTTACTGCTGCCCTGAGGTTATATCCCGTTGATTTTTAGGGAGTGTGGGGGGGGGGGGGGGAGAGACAGACATCGATGTGAAAGAGACACAGATGGGTAGCCTCTGGCACAGTGCCCCCTGCCCCCAATCAAGGTAAGTGCCCTTGACCAGGGATCGAACCTGCGACCCTTGGATGGGCAGGCCAACGCTCTAACCACTGAGTTACCCGCCAGGGCCCGCCCCTCCCCGCTTTAAAGTGACCTGAGTTCTCAACACCAACGGAACCCATTCCAAGCAGGTGACGGCCCTCGAAAACGGGCCTTTCAGACCCAAAATCAGGCCCGGGGCGGCCTAACGCGTCCTCGGAGAGCCGCGCCTCTGCCAGGTGGCAGAGGAGAGCTCACCCCAAACGTCACTTCCTCCTCCAGCCCTTCCTCTGCTGCCGGCACCCTCTCCCCGCCCTCCCACCCCATCCTCCCCCTCCCCCAGCGGCCTCTGCACAACCTGGGCCTGCCAGCCTGCCTGATACCCCCTGGCAGGGGGCCCCCCAGAGGGCAGCCCGGGAAGCCTCCCGGATCCTAGGGTCACGAGTCCCCTGGCCGTGGGTTCGGGAAGCCGGAGGAGCATCAGAGAGCCGCACCCTGACGAGCCCCACCCAGCTGCCCTCCCCTGCAGGACTGACCCTGCAGGGACTGGGGGGACCCGGCCAGGCCCTGGACAGCAGGCGCCGGTCCCTTCCCCCCTGGCTGGCCCCTCGGGTGGACCCCATGGAAGCGGTAACCGCCCGCAGGTCCTTGTTCCTGCTCCCAGGGTCGCCCTGACGCTGGGCGATGGCCGCCTTCCCGCCCCGTCGGGGGATGAGGAGGGAGCTGGCCCCCGGAGGTCCTCAGGGCGCCCCGCGGAGAGGACGCCCCCCGCCCCCGCTCCGGAAGGTAAGCTTAGGAAGCGCATCAGTGGCCCCGGCCCGTTTGGCTCAGTGGTCGGACCTCAGCCTGGGAGTGAAGGGTCACGGGTTCAATTCCGGCCACGGTTCCTCCCCGGCCGCAGGGGCCCTGTCCCGCGCGAGGAGGATGCGACCCATCCTCGCGTCTCTCACATCCTGGTTTCCCTCTTTCCTCTCTCCCAGGAGATCAAAGGGAAATGCCCTCCGGCGATTAGCAACGAAGCCGAAGTAGGGCCCTCCCCGCCCCTTAACCTCCTCCTCCTCCCCCCCCTCTACAGTCCCTCAGGGCCGGCTGGCGGCCCCCTCTCCGGGAACCCGCGCAGCCCGCACCGGGTCCGCACGGCCCCCGCTCCGTCTCTCCTCTCCCCCAGTGAAGAACAGGCACACGGACGGTCGGACAGCGCCTTTTATTGGCCCGCACCCCCCTCCACGCGCCCGGCCACCCTCGGCTCCTGCACCCGGGCAGGAGAGGGCGGGGCCGCGGGAGGGGGAAAGTAACGGGACAGGGGGGGGGGGCGGGTACAATGAAAACAAAACTCTAAAAGGGAGGACCCTCTTCCCCTTCCACCTGGGCCCACTGACTGCGGGGCCCGTGGCTCCGGCTCTACCGCGCCCCCGCGAGGGGCGGGAGAGCGGGCGCGGGGTCCACGGGGGGCTTGTCGTCGCTTGGTCGCTGGTCCGCATCGTCTCTCGGGCTCCGCCGAGAACCCACGGGGGGCGGCCGGTCCAGGTCCGCGTTCGGCGGGGAGGGCGCAGCGGGCGAGCGGGGCAGCGAGGCGGCCCCCGGCGCCCTCCCCAGGCCCCTGCGCCCCGGGGCGGGCCCGGAAGGGCGGCGGCTGCGGCTCCGGGCCCCTCGGTCCATGTCCCCCCCGGGTCTCTGGGTCCTGCGCCGTCGCCGCTCCCGCCGAGCCCGAGGGGCCCCCGCCCCTACCGGGCCTCCCCGCCGCGGCACTCGCTGCAGCGGCCGCCTGCCGCCTCGGCCCCGCCGTCCTCCTCGTCGCCGCCGCCGCCGGCGCGGTAGAAGCTCTGTCCGCAGCGGCTGCAGACGGAGGGCGCGCCCACCGCGTGCACCCGCTTGTGCCGGCGCAGCGCCGCGCCCTGCACGAAGCCCTCGCCGCACTCCACGCAGATGTGCGCCGGCTCCTCGCCGCCCGCGGGCGCGTCCCCGTGCTGCGCGCGCTGGTGCGCCAGGAGCGCGGCCGCGTGCGCGAAGCCCTGGCCGCACTCGGCGCACACGTAGGGCTTGGGCGCGGGCGCGCGGCGGGAGCGCGGCCCCGGCGCCCTGGCCCCCGCGCCCCCCGCGCCCGCCGCGCCCGCCGCGCCCTCGCCGGCCGCGCCCACCACGAGGATGCCGTCGCCGTCGCCCACGGGGATGGCGATCTCGCCGTCCGCCGCCGCCGCCTCGTCGCCGGGCGCCTTGGCGCGCCGCACGCTGGCCGCCAGCACCTTGGCCGCCACGCCGGGCCCCGCCAGCTCGGGGTGCAGGCGCAGGTGGCGCGCCAGGCTCTTGGGCTGGCTGAAGCCGCGGCCGCAGCGCGGGCACACGAAGGGCTTGAGGCCGCTGTGCGAGCGCCGGTGCTTGGCCAGGCTCTTGCTCTGCGTGAAGCTGCGGCCGCAGTCGGGGCAGGCGTAGGGCTTCTCGCCCGTGTGGATGCGCTGGTGCTGCATGAGGTTGGAGCTCCAGCTGAAGCGCTTGCCGCACTCGGAGCAGGCGTAGGGCTTCTCGCCCGTGTGGATGCGGCGGTGCTGCACCAGGTGCGAGCTCTGCGAGAAGGTCTTGCCGCAGTCGGTGCAGGCGTTGGGCCGCTCGCCCGTGTGCGTGCGCTGGTGCCGCGTCAGCTTGGACCAGTGGCTGAAGCTCTTGCCGCACTCGTTGCAGATGTAGGGCGCGGGCGGGCGCGGCCGCGGCGGGGGGCCGGCCGGGGGCGCCGACGGGGGCGGGGACAGCTTGGTGGGGGGCCAGGTGGGCACGTCGTCATCGTCCATGATGAGGATGTCCACTGGAAGGAAGGCAGAACGGGGGCAGGGTCAGAGGCCGGCGC